CATGATTATTATTTTACATTGGCCGTAATGCCATTAATAGATTAGTCGATTACATTTATTTATTTATTTATTTTTTTTTTTTTTGCTTACGAAAATGTTACACACCCGCCTTTTTGAACTCAACCTTTGAAAATAATGGATTTGGATGTTATTTGGAATAATATTAATACGTACAAGTATATAACATCTCGACATCTTAATGCAATTTTAAATTTATTTACCATAAATTGCGTGTGATAATCAATTTCATGTAATAAATACTCGTTGTTCACAGATAAAAATGTAAAAAAAAAAAAATGTACATACGAGCCTTAAATACTAATATCCTAAGACTTTTAAAAACTAAGATATAAAAATATAGTCGCTTACATCAAAGGATAAACTTTAATTTACTTCGTAAATGATAAAGCCCCTACCTATGGGGGTTTGCAAAATGCCAGCACCCGTTGTATAACCATAGCTACGGGGACCAAAATTCCCGATGTAACAATCTGAAGGGGAAAAACCCTATATTCAAAATGTTCTCTTGAGATTATTACAACATGATCATTAGTATAAATTTCATAACATTTCATGCAGGTAAACATATTAAAGGCCATATTTTCTCGTGAAAACTCAAACGCCCAATTAAATATATATTTAAATTTTCATTTTACATATAATTAATAAGCAATGAAGTTTTTATTGAAATATACGATATTATATGAATTGTTAATAGAAAAGTCAAATAAGTACTTATTGCTCAATGGCCTCATATTATTTAGTCCGTGTGTTATGGACACAGAACATCATACATTTGTATGTCACTGAAATAAAACGAAATTAAGCGTTGAAATATTTTGTAACCGTCCTCATCTGCACATATATGAGAATGTGATTAATTTTCATTAATTATGATTTATAATTAACATCATCAAAAATGTAATCGATTAAGTTGGTAATTAATATTTTTATATTTTTTGTATGTTGTATACGATATTTAAATTGCCTTTTAAAATTACTATAATTCAAAGACGATAATTTTATTGAAATACTGTTTTATTGGGGGTAATGGCCATGTAGATAAGATTGATTGCATATTTTATAAATGAAAAAATTGATTGATAACGAAGAAATTTTTATAATATTTTAAGCCACTTAATCTTGAAAATTTTATGTACTGAGCAATTTTTAATAGACTTTAAAGATAAATATTTACATTTTTTATATGTGCCACGACTATGTAATTATATATATATATATATATATATATATTTCAAATTATCTGTAAATTCATAAATCATTTACATTTGAACAATTACCTCATATTGATATTAAATTTAACGAATAAATCATATATAAAGAAGCGAACAGTCGTGCTTTAAAATTACTCATAGCTAAATGTGAAATATCAAAAGAACTGATTACATGCTCCGAACAATGTCTCGAAAACCGCTAAACAATAGTGAAAATATAAGGGAGATGTAGATCATGAACGATGATAATCATGAAAATGCAAGCCCACGCGGGCATCACTGACCTATCGCTATTTATTATAATTTAATCCTCGAATGCTTCTCTGCTTTCTCCTTATTTTATTATGGTCGAGGCGTGTTTGCTTACCGTGATCAACATTGTCTTTAATATCTGTTATTCTTTGGTGAAATAACTCCCGAGGGCATTTATCTTCAAAAGGGATATTGACATAATGAACTGATTCTCTTTTTTCTTTTTTCTTCTTTTTATTATTTACGAACAATCGATTCGTTCATTTTTCTTTGTAACTTTAGGGCTAATTGTTAGGAGTACTTTATCCTTTGATTCTTTTATTTTGAGCATCGCTACTGTAGTTTTAACATTAACGTTATTTCGAAGCTTTTAAGTCTCATCAATCAAACAAATAAGAGATAAACTTATTGGTATTTATCGTCTGTATGATGAAACTATTCTCTAACATTATATTAATTCATTAGCGACCCTCGCAAGAATTGAAGAATACATTTTTATCGAAGATTCTAGCATCTTTAAAAGTAGTAATTTAATAAAAAAAATTTAGCAGTATAATTTTAAACAATCTTCAATTACAAATTTACCTTCAGTAAATGATAAAATTCATTTATATATATATATATATATATATATATATATATATATATATATATATATATACATTTTTGCTAAAATGAATGTTTAATTGTAATGGTAAAATGAATTTTTTAATATTTATCTACATGACACTGAAATTTAAGGACATTCATAATACTAATTTATATATATGATTATATAAATTATAGTGTAATTCATGACAATTCATGACAATTCGTTCTATATTATTATCTTCCTCATCAGTTTCATAAAAGATAATATTGTAAGATAAAAATGAATAAAACAATTATTGACATATGTAATTACTACATGTAATTTCATAGACTTTATAACGCCAAAGTAACTTTATATTTAATAAAAATGATATTTTAAGTAATTTGAAAGATATGCTAGAACATGTAAAATTCAAGATAAATATTATAAATTATTTTGAAAAATAAAGCATAATATACATCAATTTATAATACTAAAAGTTTCGACTTTTATTAAATTACAATGAATTTTTAAATCGTCTCTACACAATTTAAATATGTTATTGTTTTATCTTTGATTGTTCATATGTTATAACAACGAATTTATAAACATATTATTAAGATAATTAAGAAAAGTTCACAAATCTTAATTATATAAATTATATTTAAATTTCTTTGTGCAAATCTATTTTACTTTTACTTAAAAACATCTTGATCATGAAAAATTATAAAGTTTGGAATTTTAACTTTACTAATTTCCTAAGAATTCAGAACATAAAAATTATAAAAATAACATTCATATTATTGCGATATTTCGTCTGATACGACAAAGCTTTTAATAATTATAAAAATTTTCAAAACTAAAAAGTAATATCGTTTAAAATAAAGCATAAACAAATTACCCGGAAAAACATTAATGAAAACATTCGATTTTCATTAAAATTTTTATTTATTGTTCATTATAAAAATAAAAATTCTAATTGTAATGAATATTAAGAGTAACATGCAGATGAAGTTCTGAATGATTAAATTAGGAATTGTACAAATAGAATGCAATTAAATGAATCATATGACAAGTCGAGTAAAGAAAAAAAAAACAAAAAAAAAAAACAGGTGGTTATGCGATCTACAGGATTTTAATAGAAAAACTTGTAACTCGGTCGGTAATATATGTTTTTTTACTTCGTTACCAATTAAAATTAATAAATGCGCATTAAATTGATAATAATTTTAAATTGCTATTAACTTAATATAAATAATTAATTTATTTAAATAATTTCTATAATAATAAATTTAAGATTAAAATGTATATTCTTTTCACTACTAAATTTAATTATTACGTATAATAAGTAATACACAAGGATAATTGATCCTTGATCCTAAGATGACTTTAAATGCACGCATTTTTGCAAAATAGGATTTACGCAGCATAGTGCGTGAGTGCGTGTTGCCTGTATAAATTTTTTATTAAAATTTTTAATATACTAATTTATGAACTTAAATAATTATTGTAGATTATTTATAATAATAAATTCTTAAAATAGTAAGAATTAATTATTCAGTCGATGAATATTATTCAGTAAACTCTATGTTAAAATTTCTCATTTCTAATTTCATAATATTAATATTAATAGTACTTTTTAGATAAATATTACATCTTTTTGGCAGATTTTTTTTCAAATATCCTTATAATATTAAACATTTCTCATGCATAATAATATTTAGTTGTACTTATATTTACAATGTATTTAATACTTAATTCATAAAATAAAATCTAATGTTATAACAGCTTCAATAGAAATGTACAAATACTTGATATTGATCTTTTTTGTAAAATATAACGATCTTTCAAATATATCAAATAAACATGTGTGTTATACAAGTTTATTTTAAAGTATGTGCTTTATATCGTAAGAAATCAAGCGTGATACATATAAACAAAGGTAATATCGAATTTTAAAATACTTCACTTAATCATTAGTGTCGCATACTTATGTAATTATCTTTAGTTTTTGATCTATACGATAGAAATGTGCTTTGTCAATAAACAATGAATATTTGCTTGTATAAATTTCTCAATGCGCTTCATTTCCATGGAATATCATATGTATGTAGAATATTATATTATATGTCGATATTTGCAGAACTTATAAATTAACAAATATAATAACTAATAACAAAATCGACTATTTAAAGCAATTGAAAGTAATAAAATATAATGTAAAACATCTATTTCTAAATGTATATTAAATATGCAATTTAGAGGTAATTTAAATTAATTTCATTTAAGATTAATAATAAATACGATTTAATTAGTGATATAAACTATATCTGAAAATTCATAATATTTACTTAATTATAAAAATTATATATATATATATATATATTTTTTTTTTTTTTTTTAATGACATTTTTTTTTGAATATGGCGCGAATTAGGAATGCAATTTACATTTCAGGACAATTCAATGATTAAAAATGAAATAACATCTGATCATTTGCCATGTGACTCAAACATAACCAAAAATTTGGATCATACTTCTTTCCTTCTCCGACCTTCTGTCCATGATTGTTTTTTTTTCTTAAATTATGATTTTAAATGCCAAACTAAATTTTTAATAAAATTGCAAATCTAATTTATATTTTTAAATCTACTTATTTATTATTAGGTACGTATTTATTATTTTCTGATGCTATACTAATGCTTTACTAATGTTAAAACATAATATCCTGATTTTGTAAGAAGTAAAAATAAGTTAATTTCAAATAAAATTAATGATAAAAGGTTGAATTTTATATTTGTCTTTACATACGTTTATATTGAGTTGTATTATTAATTTTAATTTCTAAAAATTATAAATACTGCTCAATATTATGCTGTAAAATATAAAATAATAATATTCTCATGTGTCCTTATTTTAGATAAAGTGAAAAAAAAAAAAAAATAAATAAATTACAAGGATGAAGAGACAAAAAAGTAATTCATCTGATTTACCAGAAAAAAAGAAGTTTAAAAAATCTATCAATGTTTCTAAAAATAAGGATTCTCGATTGAAACGCAAGCGTATAGAGAAAAAGAAAAAAGTTTCAAATTATGAAAAATTTTCTTCAAAAAAGATGAGTGATGTTCCTAGTAAACAAAAAGATTCAAAATTTTATGAGAAACAAAAACTGAATGTGACAAAATCTATTGCAACAAACGAGTCTAATAATGCAGCACCAAATGAAAAACCAAATTGGCTAGAATATAAAAAGCAACAGAAGGATTTGAGAGATAAGAGAAGGGCCAAAAAGTTAGATGACATATACGATATTTCCATTAAAGCAAAAAAAATTGGAGAAGAGCTTCGTAGAACAAAATTATCCGAGAATATTAAAGAAAAATTAACAAAAAATTTGTACGATTTAATTCAAAATAAATATGCCAAGCTCATATTTTCTCATGATATATCTAGAGTGATTCAGTGGCAACTGAAATATTGCAACGACGATACAATGTCAGCTATAATGGAAGAAATAAAACCAAATTTAATCGACATGTTTTATTCAAAATATGCAAAAAATATTATAAAGACTTTGTTAAAAAGGGGCTCGGATAATGTTAAGCAACTTATTCTCCAACAGTGCAACGGTCATGTTGTGAAATTATTGAGCTCCGTTATATCGGCTCCAATATTTGAGAAAATTTACGTTGAAATTGCATCCCCTTCGGATAAAAATATAGTTAAACAAGAATTCTACAGTGATTTATATAAAAAATGTAAAGATCCTAATGTTAAGGTTTTAGCCGACACCTTCAAAGATGCCGGAGATATGAAAGTAGCAATTTTGTCAACGGTGAAAAGTAATTTAATTAAAATATTAAACAAAAACCTTATAAATTCTACAATTGTACATACTGTACTTTATGAATATTTGTCAATTTGCTCTAAGGAAGACAGAGCTGAAATAATTGTGATGACTAGACCATTAATAGCAGAATTATCGCAGACAAAGGATGGGGCAAAAGCAGCTAATTTATGCATTTGGCATGGAACAAATAAAGATAGAAAGCTAATTATGAAAGCTCTTAAAGGACACGTTAAGGATATTATAACATCCGAATATGGGCACTTAATAATACTAGCTCTTCTGGATTGCGTTGACGATACTATTCTTTTAAAGAAGATTATCTTACAAGATATGCTTAACGACTTGAATGAAATAGTTACAAATAATTATGGTAAACGAGTAATTTTGTATCTTGTTGCGCGGAGAGATACACACCATTTTCATCCATCCTTAATTGAATATCTGAAGGAAGGAGATGGAAATGAAACTAGTAAAAAGCCTGCCGACATACGTGAAAAGGAATTGTTGGATAGCGTAGTCGATAACCTTCTCGAAGGCATAAAGTCTGATATAAAGCTATGGTTGTCGAAGGGTTCGATACAATTGGTCACATTGGCAATATTGAAATGTTGTCGCGAAGATAAGCCCAAATTAGCTTTTGAAGCTATTGCCAAATTCATAACAGATCCTAGCTCCAAGTTAGAAAATGGAAAAAAAGAAGCGTTAGATATTATAGAGGATCCTGGCCTCCACTTGATGCTAAAGAAACTCATACAAATGGACTCGGAACGTGTTCAAAAGAACGAATTAACGTTTGGCGAGGTACTTCTCGAACATTTGAGTACTGAAGTAATTAAGCATTGGATTAATTTCAATAGAAGCTGCTTTTTATTAATAACATTATTGAAATACGAGTCGGAGAAAGCAGTTTCTGAATTAAAGGCACAGTTGTTAAAAATAGAAGAGCTTAAATCGAAGAAAAGTTTAGGAGCATTAATATTGTTGAAAAAATTGAATTAAAAGAATCAATCATTGATTTACTTTAATGTACATAATGTTTCGACTTAAATTATAATTAAAGAGAAAATGAAAATTATAATTTACAATACAATACACTTACAATTGAACATTCTTTTATTTAGTTACAATGTAGTATAAATTATTCTTTTTAAGCTACTAATTCACCTAGACAAGTAACAAAAACGAATCAGTTTATTTAACATACATCATTGTAAATTGAAGATCTTTGACAAAAGGTAGTCGTCGTATAAATCTCGTAAGTTTAATATACAAGAGTAAAATTTAGATATATTTTAAATAACTGATTTGCATTACATCGACCATTATCAATTTAAGTTACATCGGTGTTTCTATGACGAAGAAAAAAAAGGGGAAAAAAAAAAGAAACAAACCAACAAGTTCTAATTATGACATAATAATGAAAATAAAAAAAATTACATTAACATTGCAAAATTAAATAAATATTGTTTGACATGGTTCGAAATTATTGCAAATATGCTTTAGACAAATATCTGACCATTCGTCAAATCACATTTGATCTCGTATGCATTAATATTCCTTTACGAATATTATTTATAATTTAAGCATACCCTTAATATCAACAACCCTAGATCGGATTTCTGGTTGATTATCTTTTGATAATTCGGTCAACATGTCATTCATTAGAGCAGTTATGAAATTTAGTTGTTTAACATTCTGCGTATTACTCAACTTTCTTGATAGAGATATCACAATATTCAATGCTTCTTTCCTTATTCTAGTATACTTGGCAATTCCTTAAAAGTATAAGGATATTTTGTATTATTCATTGAAGAAAAAAAAACGGCATAATAATTAAACGAAATATTGATCTTTACCTATTGCGTATCGTAAAATTTTAAGAAGAGTACTACAAATTAAATCTAATACTTCTTTATCCTTGTCTGATGTTTGACTGAAATCAGTTTTTAGTAAAACGAGTTTGTCGACGTAACGACTTAACGTTATTAGTATGGCAACTTGCACCGGTCTCGTACTCGTTGGTAATGTATCGAAACAGTGCGATACAAATTGTAAACAATACTGATCTAAAATATCGATCATTTTAAAAACAGTTGTAAATAATTTTCGAACAAAATTTTCAATAATACATCAGCCGTGCATATTGTACCTTGAGTCTCTTTACAAGTTGGCCAAGCTTTTCCAAGACCTTCATAAATTGTTTCCTGTAGTTTCATCTTCTTCTCTCGTTTCTTTTTATTCTCTTCAATTGAGTCATCGTCGTCATCCTCGCTCTTTTTCGTTAACTTTTTAATATGGGAAAATAATTTTGTTTAATTAAATAAGCGCAACGATAACTAAACGATACGATGCGAGTGTGGGGAATATTATATATATATATATATATATATATATATATATATATATATATATATATATATATGAGCGAATCGAATTTCATAAAAATTCATAAAGCATTTACCTTGGGTAAAACTTCTTGTGCAATTTCATAAACTTGTGTAAACTTATCTTCGTCCAATTCGTGTAAGACCTCGGTGAAAGCTTTTAAAGCATGGTGACGATATTCCAAGTCTTCCTTCTTGCTTTCTTTGTATAAAGCTACGACAATCACGTCCTTTAAATTTGAATCATTCTTTAAGTATTCTCTGAAAATATTATTTCAAATTTGATGGATATTTATATAATTAGTATAATAAAATTTAAATGTCCTGGAGATTTTGATTCTACGCAAAATTGAAAAGCAATATTGCTTAAATTAAATAATATCGAGTAATAAACGTTTCATGTTTTACTTTAAATAAGATGAATGGTATAAGAAATTTACACCATGAAGTTCCATATTTGTTCAATCGAAACTTTAAAGAATTTCATTATATTAAAAGGAATTGTGTAATTTACTTTCTTTTCTCTCTCTTTTTGTTTTTTTTTTTTGTTTTTTGTTTTTTGTTTTTATATTTTTATCATCGATCGACTTAAATAATAAACAAATCAGTGTATGTTACTGGTGAATAATTCATTGCACACTCTTTTTTATATAAATATAAGTCAAAATTCATGTAATATTCATTTAACAAATTTTACATTCAACCGAATGGAATGTTAAATATTTTATCCTCATTATGAAAACGACAATAACATTTTTCATAAGACATGTAAAAAATTATTTTCGTATGTAAATAAGCTAAAAAATATTTTCCATTGTATTTTTTTTTTTTTTTTTTTTTTAATATAAAAATACCTTATCTAAATTATGACACTAAAACTAGAGATTTTCTTTTAATATTTTACTTTAATTAGTACTTTGATGCTTCGCTCTTGCTAGATCTCACGTTTTCTTTAGAAAAATATTTCATAGATACCTAATGTGTTATATCGAAATAACAAATAAATTATACATAAATTAATAGGTTATATAGAAAAAAAAAAAAAATAATAAAAATAAAAAACGAGGATCTTACTTGCTGTTACATGCAAGCGTTGACAGAGCATTGAGCAGTTGCTCCTTCCCATTCCAAGTTCTGCCTTGTAAGCCCTTAATCAGAATATTAAGCAACGTATTCCTGGTGTCGTCGTCAATGGTGGACCCGAGTTTGATCGCTACCGTAGACACGGCGTTCGCCGCTTGGCTTTTGGTGGTCCAAGAAGACGACTCCAAGGCTGTATTGAGGGTGGCTATAATGGGACCTAAATTTTGTCGGGCGCCTCCCATCCGTGGCGCTACCTGGAACCACAGTTCCGACCACAGCTTCACGGTTTTCTCGTTCGTGCCGGGAATCGTATCCAGATGCATTCCGAAGAAAATCAATGGCATCACAATGTGGCAGTACTTTTTCAAGATATCCTGATTGTAATTATGTATTGACTGTAGAGTCTGACCGATCACTAAACGTATTGAATCATCTGAACAAGAGAATTTGACATTTTTAAAAACCATGAAAATCTTATTAACTATACGATACTAAGAAATGTCCATGTTTCTAGAAGTTTCTACAGGATCTAGTATAATATTAAATGAAAAATAAAATTAAAAATAAAATAGGGACTTAATGGAAATTTATATCGTGTTAAATGAAACGTATGCTTATTGTTATAACAAATTGTTAATTCGTATGCGAGGCTTTCAAAAAAAAAAAAAAAAAAAAAAAAAAAAAAAAAAAAAAAATATTCAAACTCAATAAATGAAATATATTATGATCAATGAAACTCTTAATCATACTCTTAATTGCCATTAATTATTCATAAAATTAACTATTTCAACAAGATTATAGGAGATAATTATAACGTAACTTACCCTCTCGTTCCATGTACCAAGTATTTAACATATTGAACAATTTATCTAGACTAGATTCCTTTGCGCACCCTACGATGTAACCAATTGTCACTGCATTATTTTTTTTTATCGCAGCATTTCGATCTGTTAAACCATTGATAAGAGCTGCTAATATTTTGCCTGGAAATATATTTAAGCCAATTAAGCAAGGTAATGATATAACTTTAACATTATTGACTTATAAAATGGGAAATTCTAACCAGCGTACGGCTGAAGCTCATTTTTCATGTGTGCACCGAGCTTTATAAGGAAATTCGAACAAGCTAGCTTCGTTCCCAATTTCAAACTTGATTTAATAAGTTCTATGACATTAGGCATTAAATCCTTCAATATTGCTGCATCGATATATTGTATACACTAAAAAAATATTGAAGAAAAATTACAATCGTTATTCCGATATTGGGCTCAATTAATAGAGAAAAAAAAATTTATTTTACTCTAGTCATTGTGTCCGTAGAAAAATGATATTTAGTCTCTTGTACAGTTGCATTATCAATAAGCTCTTGCATCTCCGATGAATTAGATGTCAAGTTACGAATGTACAGCAATTGATTATTTTCAACTTCGCCGATATCGTTCAGAAGAGCGGGAATCAATGTTGGAAGCGCGGGCTTAATTAAATTTCCAGCTGACGATACGAGATAAGATATCGTTTGCAGAGATATCAATCGTATGGCTGAGACTGTGTGAGTGACTCCATCGTCTAATAAAACTGGCAATACTGCTCGTAAAAGCTCTTCACCAGATTTTCCACGAATTACATTACACTTACGAGCCACAAACTAACAGAATAAGAAATTTTTATCACATTAACCGTGCATATTGAAATATTTAAGTAAAGAAAGTTCTTTTCAATGAATCAATAAATTATTAAAAAATTTATTACGATTATTCACATTGACAAATGACATTGACTCTAACTTACTCAAAAATTCAATATTCTATTATTTAAAAGTTATTTGTGTCGGTTTATTTTATATAAAAAGTCCCTACCTGACTGAAAAATGTGGCAGTATTAGTTGCTTCTTGTCTTGTACCTTCATGAATATCGTCCATAACTCTGAATAGTTGTTTCCACAATTTTGGAGCTGCTTCCACATAATTTAACGAAAGATTAAAAGATTTCAACAGATCGGTTAAAGCCAAACAACAGCTGATTCGCACACGAAATTGACCGTGGGTTAAATTTCGTGTAATATCGTCTAATATTTCTTTACAGTATTTGTCGAGCTGAATATAGGAAACGACAATTATAATAAATGAGTATTTGACAAATTGTTTGTTAAGCATTGAATATTGAAACAATCGGCATAGAAGACTTACAATTTTATCTAATGGAAATAAAAGTATAGTCGTTTCTTTCATAAATTTCAATTATCATACTTTGTATAAACTTTTATATATTTTACAAAAAAAAAAAAAAAAAAAAAAAAAAAAAAAAAAAAAAAATCATAATGTTTAATAAGATATTATTCTTATTGGCTGTTATTTACAATTATTATGAACAATCAAATGAAGAATTCATTCGATATTGCTTACGATTGCATTTATATTTAACAGCAAATTTTAACACGTCAACAACATATTATAGTCTTATAAATATTTAAATTAAGCTTTTACCATTGAAGCCCCAACGACACGCCAAATAGTCGTAAAACTTTGTTGAACCTTTACTATCGGATCAAACCGATATCTGTACAATTTCGGTATAATCTTTGGTAAATATGCCGAGATATCTTCATTATCTAAATTGGGTAGCTCAGAAAATCCTAAGGCAGTAATTTTTTTGGATGTCCATAGTGCATTATTATTGGACAGGTGTAAAAAGTAATAAATTAATTCTGGTTTATTCAAATCGGCAGCTAATGAGAATATTTCCTTGTACGTTGACATATTTCCACTAAGAATGAAAACAAATTTTCAATCTCTAGCTTAAAGCTATTGAGTAGATGAATTTTTAATAAATTTGTAAATATGTTTTATTAGCAAACGACACTAAATTACGATTAATTATGTATTATAAAATTTATTTGCTTTAGAAGCGCATGGACTAATTTTGTATTAGTCTTTCGAAAAAGCCATATAAATGTTATACGTAATTAAATTTGTCTTACGTGGTTGAGTATTTTGCTAAATGATCCTCTTCGTATATTTGTGTACCGTCGGTAGCTTTTTGCACTTCTCTTTTTCCACGTAATAATTGACTCGACATTGTCGAAGTTAATGTTGTTCTGTCGCTTTCTGGACAAATTTTGTAAACCAAGTATAAACCTTTTGAAGCAATTTCTTGAACAATATCTTAAATAATGCACAAACATAATTAATAAATATCCCATCACTTATTTAATTTATAAATAATCATATTTCTCACCATTATTTTCTGTTAAGAAATCGAGAAACGCTTGTTGAATAGCTGGCAGTTTTTCAAGGACATACTGCCGTTTAGAATTATATTTTAAAATTGTCAGAAGCCATATACAGATAGCCTAGAATAATAATAATAAGCTTATAGTATCAAAACATTGTAAAGCTAACAAAAAAAACTATAATTATTATATTATGCGTATTGTCATGCATTAAAAAAGTGTTTAATCTTGTTAAAAAATACCATGGTATTTGTTAATTTTCAAAAATATTGTTTAATTTTTATAAGAAACAATTTATTCTTCGTGAATTCATTCGTCGTAAGATTAATTTCAGCTTATATGCTATACAAAATTATTGTTTACTTAAGACACTAATCTTATAAAAACAGTTTTTTTATTATTTTGAATTACCTGTCGTGAGTTAGGATGTGGTTTACTGGCAGATGATAATAATCGTTCGACAATAAAATTCAATAAGTCATTACTTTCTTTTGTATAAGGAACATTATGTTCAGAAGGGAGAGTTTTCCATGCATCTCTTGCCTCGGTTGAAGCAGGACCCTGTATACAACATATCAAAGCCTCTCCGATAGATAAATGTAAGCTGATATCCTTTGTCTGTTAAAATAATTACGAATATTATATAAAATGCTCCCTTACTTTACAAAGGAATAATTAACAATTGTAAAATTAAAAAAAAAAACAAACAAACAAACAAACAAACAAACTCACTTCGTTAGCTATTTCGATAAATTTTTCTATAATTATTTTACTGTGGGGGAAGTCCTCTCCGATACATACGTATCCTAAAGTTAATGCAATTTTTTCCTTCATCTACGACATGTAAAATTAATCATTAGATACAGAGATCGGGATTTGATCATTATGAAAAGTTTAGGAATTATTTTCACAAACCTTTAAATTCGATTTTGAATTCATAAAAATAGAAAACAATTTCTCTACGACACTTTTTTTACTATAAGTTTTTTCTGTATCAGACGGCAAAGGTAATGCAAAAGTTTTACCAATTACTCCAATACCATTAATTGCAGCCGTTAATAACATTGGATTATTAACATTAAGAAATTCGCCTAATTTAAATAAAATTAGCAAAAAAAATGAAATTATAATCATTTAGTATATTAATTAGGATAATATATATATATATATATATATATATATACACGCACGCACACACGCACACACATGCATATATGTAATATGGATTAATACATTAGTTTAAATTAAATTGAATATAAATATTAATTGTCAGCTGATAACAATATTATAATTTATAAGTTTTATGTTTTATAAATGGCCAGATTTTATGAAAAATTAATAAAAATTATTTTCTAATGCAAACAATTATTTAATAATTATATAATAATAAATATTATATATACATTTATATTGATTGAATGTAAGACGTAGTGAATATGGTGAAACTCAATATTAAAACATCACATATTTCTCAATCGCATGTTATAAAGAAAACTCACAAATTGCCATTACTGTATCGATGTACGTATTCCAATTTACTAATGTATTTTTATCTTCATTTCTTTGCAAATTCAATTTCCTTTCCATGGAGTAAGACAGGGCAAGTATAGCTCCTTGCTGATTTTCTAAAAGCTTATCCTTCGTTATTTTCAACATTTTAGAAATTTGATTCTCGAATTCATTTGTCGAGACATAGGCCATGAAAATACCACATATCTTCGCTGCAAGATCTCTTACGTATTCCTTTGTCGACGATAATAACGATTGAATCCAAGCCTGTTCTTTTTCATAACGCTCAACAACATAAGTTGGAATTGTTCCAACTATTTCAAGCAAAGCACTTAAAGCAACCTCATCTAAAGAAATAATTGTTAAATTCACATATTAACATTATTAACTGATAATTAATTAATAAATGCGAATGAATTGGAAAAAACATAAATTATCAAAATTATATACGCTTGTGCTAAAATCTATCAAATTGTATATGAATTTTTATAATTTCTCATTGCATTTTATTACCTCCGGTAACTTGTCCAAAAAGTACAACAATATCTATGTAATGATATAAGCTAGAAGGATTTTCATTATATAATTTTTCCAAATAACGACCTATTAATGGAGTGAATTCGCATGGGTGTTCTAAAGAATCGCTTTCAATTGCAATATTAGAGCTCTTTGCCAAACAAATGCGAAGATATGATATAATCTAGAAAAATTAAATTAAACTTCAATGTAATGATAATGTCGAATGAAAATTTTAAATATTACCTCAACACACGTAGCGGTATTAAAAGGCAGAACTTTGTTTCCGATTGTCACTTTGTTATTACTACTTATTCTTCTTTCGGCTTTTGAGTGAATATATGATATAAGCTGTAGAAAATCTGGCACTGAATTGTATTTCGTGACATACTTGTAGCGTTCGTTTTTGTAGGAAGTTCCGTAAAGCGACTTTAAAGCTTCAAATTGAACATCCGATTTTGAATCACCACAGGCCAATAGTAATAAATATCTAGATGGAGCATGATTTGGTGGAAAAACAGTGGCTATATAAAGAACCGCGACGAATCTACGATGAAAATTATGATTAATCCATGCAGTTTATGTTAAGACTAATATCGAAAGGAAATAATATAAAAATACCTGACATCAGCTTCGGGAGACTCTATATGAGCTGCTAATAAGCCAGCCATTAATGATATTCCAGTATCATCGTCTTTATTAAGTATAAATGCACTCTTTATGCCAATCAGGGCATCTCGTACAGATCGTTGCAGATCACAATCGCCCTTATTCTAAATAATTTTCAACGATTATTAAATAAAAATAATAAGCAAAAGCTGTGCATTGTGAATTGAATTTTTAGAAAATACTAACCTTTGTAAGCATGTCGAAAAAGTTTTGCAGCAAACTCAGATCTTTATTAACAAGACTTGGCATTCTGAGGACAAGTTGCTCGAGGATTTTAAAGGCCAATAGCCTATGCTGTGACTCAGTTTCTTCATTGATCAATCGCATCATACCATTTAAAATAACTTTTGCTACTCTGGCAATTTCTGTTTCATTACATCTACAATTTTATTACACATTATTATACAACGTATAAGAAATATATGATTGCATGGTAATGGGAATTTTTGTATTATGTGATACTAATGCGATCAAATGATGTTTTCTTACTGTTCAACGATATTTAATGTAAATTGAAGTGCCAAAGTCTTGAGCTTAAAATTCGTATTATTTTCACCATACAATGATTCAAAAATGACCTGAAAATAATTAAAAATAAATAATAAATTAAAAAAATAAATTAAAAAAATAATTAAAAAAATAAATAAATAACGATAAAATACTTAAACAATAATACTTGTATGCTTACTTATTAATTTGCTTAAGAAATTTTAAGAAATTTTAAGAAATTTTAAGAAATTTTAAGAAATATTTAAGAAATAGTCGTAAATAAGAAATATTTTCAAGTATTACCTGAATACAGGGGGGAATAACAAGGGTATGTGTTACACGTAAGAGGTAACGTAATAATTTCAGCCGAATTCGAATACAAGCAGGAGTTCTTTTCATATCGGGTTTCACATCCTTTTGCGTAGCTAGAGCGTCAGTTCCTAAAAATAATGCGTAAAGTGGTTGGGCTAATTCCATCGATGACCATCTCAAGAGACTAAAATACAGTAATTACGTAAAAATAGGCAAAAATTAAATAATGCAATGGAATAAGTATTATCATACATGGAAATTTTTTTTAATTCTAAATCGGCTAAGTTGGCAACACTAAATCGAGTATCAGCCGCTGCAACTATCAAATGAATAAGAATGTCAGAATCAGAAAAAAATCCTCCAGCAAGAAATTTGACAATTCCTAGCTTTGTTTGTTCAAGTTGCTCCGCTGTAGGAGGATTTTCCCCTATAACTCGCTTAAATGCATATTCACTCAATCCAGGAGGGACTGTGTATTGAGAACAGTCGACCGGTTGCCTTGGTTGTTGATTATTACTTTGTGCGATTGAACTGTACAATAAATATTCATCGCTTTAAGTTGCAATAGATCGAGAATAAAGCAAGGTAAACAAAGTAGGAGGAAAGTTTTTATTCCGCGATAGCGAATTTAAACTTTAATCCTGCCTATGCAACGAAAGTAAAAATTTTACCCATAAGGTAATAATAACACGTCCAACATGAAATTAAGTAATTGTTTTGCTATCTGGGGCTCATCTTGTAATCCAAGAAGCGATGCTCTCTTCTCTGGATCCATTGGTATTTTTACACGAGCCAATGCTGGCATTATTATACTCATTAAGCTAGAAAATTAAAAGTAATAAATTTCAAACGCGTAGGAAAAATTATAAATGCTCATAAGCTTATTTCATTATTACAATTAATTACTTGTATTTGTCTCGTTTGTTTTATCATAAATTTTTAATTTAAAAATTATTACATTAATTTCAATAATACCTGTCCTGATGTGATAATGGCTTTCCTTGTATAGCATTCAATACGCTTGGAATTAATTCTGCTTGTTTATTTATTTCCATACGAGGATAGCCAAGCTTAATATATATAATTGTGAAATTCTGGGAAGAAATATGAAAATGAAATAATACATCCTAATTTCACATTTAAACACGTATAATATACTTACAATTACAAATGAACTGGCTGCAGGATCTTGATACTGCAATAGCAAAGCTTCTACAGGTAGTTGAACTTGTGGTCTGCTTTTGATTCTTCTATTTATATGTATTAAAAGTTCCATTACTTTTTTCCTAACTCCCTCCTGAGAGCTAGACAGTTTGAGAAGAACCGGAGGTAGAAATTTACATATTGCCGCCTGCAGCTGTTCATCTGTTTCGACCGAGCCTAAACGAAGAAAGACTCGCTCCAGCAAAACTATGAAGAATTTTATGTTACGATTATTTCATTACCATTATAAATCATATAATAGTTTAAATACTTTTCATTGCAATTGTTGCTATTAATATTATAAAACTCAACATTTATTGATTTAGATTTAGATTTAATAATTTTGTCAATTATGAAAAACCATCCATCGTTAATGAATATTTATTTTTGGATTTATTATAACATTAATAAACTCAAAAAGCCATACATATCACGTTACGTTATAACAATAAAACAAAATCCTTAATATTTTCTCAACTGTGTTATAATTAGCATGATACAAAGAAACAATGCATACAAGTATTAAAAATATTATACTAGTAAAATACGACGATTGCAATTGCACAAAAAATATAAATACTTTTCAGGTTAAACGACACATATTACAATTTTAAAAACTAATCTGTAAAAGCTGTTATCTAACATTAAAAAGTAGTTCATATAATTTTTATATTTCTCATAAATTTGAAATTAACTTTAGGCATCAATGTTATAATATTAATCATAAGCTAAATCATTTTGGTATTGTGTTATGTAATCTAAGTATATAGGACACAGATTTTAATATAATTATCCGATTATTGACAAATTAAATATAATAATTGATGCATTGAAATGAATTACAAATTAATTAAAAATATTTCCAATCTTTTCGTCATTATTAGTATGTAAATTTATGTATAAGATTTTTTTTTTCTTTTTGTAATCTTAATTTCGCGTATAAATGACATTATCTTTCATTTATATAAGCTCAGACCACACCGTGTTTGCTATAGCTAAGATAATTAGTTATATTATATATAAAATTAAAACAAAAAAAAATTACAATAAAAAAGATTATAATATATTAATTTTAAAGCATACAATTTAATTGATACAGCTATAATTTTCTATTATTATTATTATTATTATTATTATTATTATTATTATTCAATTATATATTATAGTAGTAACGATTAAGTATTAAGTAACAAATAGATATTGAGAACCGTATAACAATTTTCTTATCCTCTTATCCATTATCGCATTGTTAATTATAAATGTCTTCCTTAATAAACGTTTCTCAAATAAAATGGATATTAACTTTTGTAATAAGTAAGAGAAATTGTACTATTGGCATAAATCTTATGCAACCAAATTATATTAAGTTTTTAATAATTACAATATTTAAGCTTAACAAATTAATATAGGCAAACTATATCATTATGAAATTAATGCACATAAATAGAATAATAAATTTATCGATCACGCTCAAAGTAGATTTGCATTGAAGTTCTGATTGTAGAAGCTCGATAAACCCAGTTTAATCTCTATGCGTTTGCTCCTCTTCGCGCTTAATCTACATGATAATAACTTCTTGCTTCCCAATCTTAGAAACTGCGCACGCTATATGAAATATTTAATTGCAAGTAAACAAAAAGCTACAGCTGAAATGCCAGAATTGTAAATTAACACATGAAATTTCAAAATATTGAAGAGAAACAAACTTTTGGCATCCAATGGATGAGTAACCATGTTTCCTCAAACAACATTAAGGAGAACTAAGATTTCTTGTCGCCGCCGCCTCCGCGGCCGTCGTCGTCCCGCTGTCGCTGTCGCTGCCGCCACTACCGCCAACGCCAACGTCAAACGTCAACGTCAACATCAACGTTAACGACAACGAGAACACAACGATAACGGGCAACGACAATACACGATGACGATGCCAATGACGATGCCAATGACGACAACGACGATGACGACGACGACGACGACGACGACGACGACGACGACGACGAGAAGGACGACGACGACGAGGACGAGGACGAGGACGAGGACGAGGACGAGGGCGAGGACGAGGACGTTGAGAAGGGGAAGGAGATGGATGGGAAGAGGAACGAAAGCGAGAAAGACGAGGTCAACGCGAGCGTTAACCAGGAGAGTCAACTAGGGCACAGTTTGACAGCTCTCGCGAAAAACCACGTGTTGCGGCGCGCGCACGCGGCGTACGGTGGGGAAGGCGCGTGTGCGCGGAGCATCGAATAAAACGAGCTCAGGAGCCGAGCAAGCCGAGCCAAAATGAGACAACACGAGACTCCGGGGGACTCGGCGCATACTCGTCCCTCTTTCTTCGTCGGCGCACGCACCGACGCGCGACCGTGAAGCTACCGTCCGCCCGACGGACACGGCACCGCGATCCCCTACGTGCGCGTGCGAACTCGACGTGCGCACACGCGCGCGCCTCGACAGCGTGATACTTGATATATGCGGAAGGGCTCGGGCCAGCGAGTCGGGGAGAGCCACCCGGCCGTATGGGCCGGCCCAGCCGAACCTGGGCTGCCACGCGGAGCCGCTGCCGGTCCGCGAGCCGCTCGCCGACGACTAATCCCGGCCCTTTTCATCCGCAAAACGAGCGCACCACTTACTCAGCTCATCCGTAGCCGCTGCCATTTTGGAACCGCGTATGCGCGCGACGTTTGCACTATTGTAGATACGGACGTACTTACGAGCTGTCGGTACCGTGGTGGCCAATATACATACATTGGTGGCGGGGAGGGGTTGGGGGAGGGGGACTCCGGCTACGGAGCGTCTGCCATGTTTCGTCTGTCCACTATTTACCGAAGACTATTGCTCTCGTGCCTACTACGTCACGAGTCTCCTCAACCTCTCTCTCGCGCTGTCAGACACAGTCCTTAGCCTTAAACAATCGACCCTTAATAAACAACGAATAGACGTATTGATGGGTAAAGAAAGGCTAGGATTAATGGCTACTTGTACGTTATTCTTCGCGTATTATAATAGTTGGTGGGAGGAGGATAATAAGCGAGCGCCTGGGACGTATTTAAATACTCGTTATCCCCGTTTGTAGGGGTCCTGTAAGAGTTAGTCCTGATAGAGTGGCTCGGTCGTACATAGCTACGAAGAAAATTCACATTTTACTTTTCATTTCTTTTTTTTTTTTTTATATTAAATAAATTTCCCTCTTTGACTTTATCGTCCATTGATTTCAACTGCTCTCTTTCTTCGTCCGTCCGTTCTTATGGCGAATCGCGTATCGCATTATTTATACTAATAATCAAATTTATATGACATTTCTAAAAAAGAAAAGCCCACTCAACAAGTCGACGACAATACTTTCTCTCTCTCTCTCTCTCTCTGGCTTCAAGTTTTAACTTCACTAATTACTTTTAGCAAATAATTTATGAAAGAAAAAATTATAAGTCATTAAGTCTTTTTTGCGTCGATGCTTGGCTGAAAATGAAGATTGAGCGAAACGAGCGACTATCTTGCATTGTTTCGTTACAATGAATTTTTTAATCAATCAAAGACAAATAATAGTCGGCCAGTTTTACAACTACGTCTAATAAATGCGATATATCCGCTAAAATCCATAAAGATCGTATGGCAAGAGATTTGTAATGAACGAATTAGCGGAAAAGTATATTATGTAATTGTAATGCTGTTCGTGTAGCGCAAACGTTATCCAATGTATTTATGTATTTACATGTAATTAATAATGTACGTAAGAAGTTTTGTAAATGCTAATCTGTAAATGTGTAATGTGTTGCTGAACGCAAAATGTCTATTAGTTAAATGCACAAGTATAAATATGTATTGTCTGGAGGCTGATATTATTATGACGAAAAGTTTTAATGTTCAAAATGAAAGATATGGACCAATGCTGACATAATAATATACAATCGCGATATTTTATTGTCACGTCCAAAGCTTTCTTTAGATTAAAAAACAAAAAAAAACAAAAAAAAGAAGGGAAAAAAAGTAGTACACATATTGGATAGATTATGATATTTTATGCTGCACCGACTGCTAGTAATTAATGACAAACTATTTCTCATTGTTTTATCATCGCAAACACAAAAGAAGTCTGATATAAAAAAGAAATGAAAATAAAAGAGAAAAAAACTTGGCTCAAATCCTCGTCGTTATTTTCTTTCATTATTTATTTATTTACTTTTATTTTAAACAATTATTTTTTTTTTTTTTTATTTTTTTTTTTTATTATTGTCCTGATGCCACATTTCTTTGATTTTTACCACAAGGCACCAAGCGGCCAACAAAAAAATATTGTATAAATATTTTGCCACAACGTCGTAAATCGATTCGCAGAGGCGGCTTGATTTATAGAATGATAATTCTAGGAAATGAAAATCTTTAATCTATAATATTATTATGAATTTCATAACTATTGTTGCGAACAATTAGAGATAGGCTATATAAGGTATGAAACAAGTCGAAATTGTTAATAAAATAATGTTTGTTACAATCTTATATATATATATATATATATATATATTTATATTATATTTCAATTATTTGGCAATTAATTAATTAAGAGTAAATCAGGCATCGACGAGACATTGAAAAAAGAGAGATGATACTGTAAATTACAATATTATAAAGACTTTTACGAATCTTTATGTAATATCTAATGGGATTTTTAATAATTTTAAACATAAATTAAATAATAATAACATAAATTCATATATAATCGATTAATTTCCTTTTGCCCCATCGTTTCCACATTAAAACGAAAGTCAACCTTCTTTAACTTACTTAATTAATAATTCTTTATGTAGCAAACATTCAATTTTTTATCTATCGACGTTATTACATAACGTCCGCCTTGTTCCAGGACTGCCAATCAAAATTATCAGTTAGACAATGTTGGCAGCATTTGCCTTACGCGCCCAGAAATAATACGCGAGTAAGCTCAACCGCCATCGCTCGCACACAAAGTTCATAGACAAACTAAAAAATATATATATCGCCTCGTGCGCTAATTGAAAATTACATTTTACACTTCATGTTACTTAATGTAATAACTGTGATTAAAAACTGTGCTAGTTTATGATCATTACGAAATCACAATGATTTTATACGAAGTCAAATATATTTCTCCACACTGTTTTCTAAACTTCTGGTATTTAATTTCATTAACAGAGACTTTCGTTATACATTGCACCATAAACACAATATAATATCCAAAAATGAAGAAAAAAAAAAGATTGTCAAATTATGAGAAATTCGCCCAATTTGATGAACAAACTCAAATGTTGTTCAATGCATTGGCTATTGGGTTATTTAAAATAAATTTTTACTTTATAAATGAAAATTATATCGTTTTACACTTGACATTACATTGAAGCTTATGTTGATTAAATTGAAGCAATTATAATTTGGAATTAATTATCCTATTAACTAGAAGTATATTATAAAATGCATAATCTATTAAATGGAAATGTATCCATTTTTTGTTTTTGTTTTTGTTTTTTTTTGTTTTTTTGTTTTTTTTGTTTTTTTGTTTTAATCGGAATGGTACATTGTCATTTATTTGAAATATTTAAATTCTCATTAACTTTACTATAATTTTTAACTAAATTTATCTTCACACTAAATTATCTAATAAGAATGTACTCATCAGGCTTGAAAAAGCTGTCATTAATATCTTATTATTAATTAATCTACTTAATGTTTTTACATAATATTATAATCCATTCGCAATTAAATCTACATAGCTAATCAATGTTAATCAATAAACATTATTTTTTATTTAAATTTTCATTTAAGCAGATTACTATCATTAAATCTCGAATGACTTAAGATCTGACTATATATTAAACCTTCTATTCTTTTAAATAACATAAAGAGATTGATAACAATTGTCTAACTAATAAAGCCAATTATTTTATACGCCTGACCTACATATGCAAACTATTTTATACAATAATATAAATATAAAATAAAAAAGTAAATATATCCTATTGTATACAAATGTTTTGCCTGTTGAGAGATAAAATCGCACGAATAAGTAGCACATGTGTCTGGGATCAGACTGAAAAACCTCCTTTTGATGTTGGGCGGAGGTGTTGCTGGCAATTGGAAGGGGCAATGCAAAATTATTCAATACTACGCGAAAGTGTCTCTTTTCATTCCTTTATTAATTATAATAATATAATAAATAGCTTAATTTATTATTAGAAATATTTGAACTTGTATTTAAGATCCACCAATCAATTTGATTGGTATTTCCTTGCGAGGGGAAAGTTTTATATGTATTGATTCAATATATCGTTAGGTATGCTGTGTTCTGCGCTAGAAGTGAATTCGACTTGACCGTTTTTCATTATAATTAATTGACCTCTTTTTTCACGACACTTTCATACAAAAGCTGAGCTTGTCACCTTAGACAATTCCTCCTTGATGTCAATATCCACTAAGAGTTCTGAATTTCTTGGATCTTCCACTAGCTCTTTGACCCATTTATGTTGACAATCTATAATCGTGTCTTCTATCAATTACATAAAACATAGACTTTGAACATACTATTTTTTCTACTTATTCAATCAAAATAATATTTATAATTATTTAATTGAAATGTTTCCATTGTCAATCTACTTGTATTATTCATTCAACAACGTCCATTTTTATTGTAACTTATATGCAATAATTATGCATAATGACAATTCACAACAATATTATGAATGCAATCAAGAATTTCAATAATGGAATGAAACTAATTATTTAAGAGCATGTTTCTACTCATTTTTCTACTAATAAATATTTTAATAATGGATTTATTATTTACGTTATTTCGTTACTAAATTTATTGAATTAATCTACACAACAATATTATTAAATTTTTCTATAATTATTAAAAGTAATCGTTCAATTTCTTACGTTATATACATATATATATATATATATAATTTATTTATTTATTTATTTATTTATTTATTTATTTATATTTAATATTTAACAAATATATTCATATTTGGGTAAGGTTAAATTACAGTTTATATTTTTCAGTTTTTGCTTATTGTATTAATTGCCTTATTATATTTATTAATTACAATTCTTAATTAATATATTATTATCTCATGCAAATAATATAGTCAAAATCTCGTTATAATTCGTATACTGAGAATTATTTATAGTTATACATGGTTTTACAAAATTTTTTATTTGATTTTAAACTGCTTAAAGCTAATTATAGTGAGTACAAACTATTATTAGTCTCGTGAACATGATCTATATAAATTAATATTTTTAAAAATTACGTCAATATTGCAATACAGATTTTAAATTAATATATAAAGCAATAATTCTTTAATTTCAAAAAAAATTCTGCTTCACTATGAGTGCAAAGAAAAAATATTAAAATTAGCATAAATTGTAATTACATAATGATTATGAAAATAATTATTATACATATGGATTCCAACATTATCACATTAAATATATAAACTCGTAAAAATTTTAGCCTTCGTTTTATTTCGCATGGTTTTGTTACCATATTATTAACGAATTTTATATTAATAATCAATAAGTTACAAATAATCTTAAACAATGAAAAATTAACATATTTTTTAAGATTTTTCAATTAAGTATTTTCTAGTTTATATTCTTAGAATTATTTTACGTTAAAAGTTGTGGTATAATTTCATATTTATGTAATCGAAATGTAAATTTTCGATCCTTGAATCGATGGACTTCGACTTCGTTCGATTATTCGTTAGTGACGTGAACATTTGAAATGAAACTTCAAACGAGAATTGCAATGTAAAAAGCCGCTACGAATTTTATTCGACTTTTCTATATTCAGTGCAAATATTTAAACGTAACATACTTGATTTTTGTAAAAATTCTAGTCGATAATATATATATATATATATATATATATATGTATATGCATATATATGTATATATATGTATATATATGCATATAAATCAATGTATATATAAATATAAATAAAAATATAAATAAATAAATATATATATATATATATATATATATATATATATATATATATATATATTTTTTACACATACACACGCACAAAGGCCTATATATATATATATATTTATTTATATATATAATAAGGTATGAAATACATTTTATTATGCTTCATTAATTACAGGACATTTATTTTTAATTTTTATACACATTTATTGCAAAATTCTTCTTTTCAAATATGAAAATTAAACAACATATTTTAGGTTAACTTTATTCAATATACATTTTGTTGCAATTAATTTAAAATATTCATCGGAATTCAATTCAACATAAACGTAAAAAAATCTATTTGTCCAATAGTAAAATCATTTTTAAGTATATAAAATTTTTTTTAATCATTAAAAGAATATTAAAGTAACATTAACATTAAATGCAATAAATCTGATAGTTTAGTATCTGTGATATTAGTATTAAATTATTTAAACTTTCCAAATTTTTTATTTCAATTACAGATTAAAAACATGTATTATTTTGTATTTAATATTTAAGAATGAAGTCAAGTGAGATTGTTATTTTTTTAAACTCATAATAATATTTCTTATAATTTATCTACAAAAATACTATGTATTATGTGTTAAAAATAATTTTTAAATATTTTATATCACAATTACATATAATCAATAAATGTATTTATATAATATATAATAATTCATTAAATATTTACAGATAAAATGGATCATTCTTCGTGGACTCCAAATAATAATAAAATGAACTGTGAAAGCATAATAATGTTGAGTCCTATTACAAAAACTCCAATTTCAAATAATATAAGACTTAAGAGAAATTTTCAAAGTAATACGACCAATTTTTCCGTATTACCTAGCCATATAACACCACCTTCTGGATTGACAAAATTTATAGCTAGAAATCCATTTGAAGCAGATCTAACAAATAAATTACACATTTCAGTTATAAGCCCAACAGTATTTAGTAAGGTACAATCTTTTATTTGTATTTATATATAAAATAATCCATACATTTATTGCATGACTTGTAATCCATCAAGAATTTTCGTCAAATATTCAATTTTTTCATATTTTTTTATTATCTTCGCTTTTAGAATTTTATTTATTCGTGAAAAATATTATGTATAGTTACATAAACAAATAATTCTTTATATAATTTTAACGATAATGTTAAAAATAATACATTTATTTAGGTCGTTGATTCTCATCAGAAAGATTCTCCAGGATTTACTTGGAGTATAGACGAATTAGCTCTTATTCAACCTGCAAAAATTGATGAATTTCCAGAGCAACAAATGCAATGCTCTGATCCTGAAATTGAAAAGAATGCTCAGGAAGCAATAAGTAAATTTTTTAGTAAAAATCAAATTATACCAAGTCCATTTGATTTTAAAAGAGGCGAACTTGGTAAAGAAATAGAAATGGTGACACCCATTCGTGAGTTTGAAGGAATAAATATATCAAAAGAGTTGTTTGAATCTAAAATTGAAACAAAAGATTGTAAGTTATACATATTATTTAATGCAGTTTATCAATGATTGAGCGAGAATGCAAAATAGTGTCTATACATTATAATATCAATATATTTTTAGGCTGGGCACAAACTATTCTAACTTTACCTCCAAAATTGCCTGAAAAGGTTGAGGAGATTTTAAAACCATACTTTAGTTTCACACAGGTATATTATCAATTTCTTGATTATTTTTAAGTTGATAAAATTAATTGCTATAATTAAACTATTTTTTAAACTATTAATTAAAATTTCAACTAATCCTCTCTGTATAATAAATAATGTTTTAACAGTTAATAACTATTAACTTATCTTTAACAATTCAGTTATGTTTTAATTATAACTTATAATGAATATATAAATTATAGAATCAAAATTACGAAAGTGATGAAGCTAATATTAGTAATACTTCGTTAAGAAGGAAGCTATTTTCGAATAATGACGATTCTCATAATGAATCGAATAGCTCGATCCTAAAATCTCCTGAAAGTTGTAAGAGTCCTTTAAGTGAAAAGTTGAGTCCACTACAAAGTGGAATGTTTTTTCATGGTACTCTTCTACAGGTATATATAATTAATAAATTTGGAGTACGTAAAGATAATTATTTAAATAAATACAATTTCTTAAATTAAAAAAGATATCAATTATTTGCTTATAATTTTTTATTGAAAATTACTGTATCATTGATATATCTTTTACAAAGTTAAAATAATTAATAATCTTTATGCTATTATTTCCATATTTATATGTTTCTACGATTAGTAGTCTTATTTATAAAAAATTTTTTTTTTAAAAAAAAAAAAAAAAAAAAAAAAAACAATTGAATTTTTATATAGATAAACTAAATTCAATTAGTATTATTATTCTCATAAATTTATTCTTTTTATTGTAGAATTCTCCAATCACTCAAAGAACATATGGAACTCCACTTGGTTATGGCAAAGATATTTCACCTCACAATTTGTCACCAATTAGCAATCCAGGCCTCAACATGTCCTACCAAAGTATTAAATCTCGAAATAAATCAGTGGCAAGATTAGATTTTACAAATGATGATATGAGTATTGAAGTTATAACCGATGAAGAAAAACAGGACAAAAACAGTTCTGTAACTGAAAATATATGTACGAATCAATTTTCTTATTTAATATTAATTATATTCTCATTAAAAAATAACGTTTATTATTCTTTTAAAAAATAATTTTTAAAATTTAATAACTGTTTTAAATATTTCGTGTCACTTTTACCCGTGATTTAATTTATAAAAAAAATAACTGTATGATTTAAAGATAAACAATTTTGAAAAACTCGATATTTTTAGAATTTTAATACATTATAAAATGTCTTTCAACTTTTTCGATACAATAGTTTTGAATGAATATATATATATATATATATATATATCATTATAAACTATTTGATATTATTATAAATTTAAATTTTATGATTCGATGAATTTTTGTGTACTGAGAAGTATATCATAAATATGTAAATTATATGTTTTATAAATCGTCTAATTATATATTCGATAATTGAAACAATATTTTTTTTTTAGGTAAAACCTTGTTTTCCGAAAAAAACAATATGTTAACAGAGAAGGAAATGGATAAACATATGGAAGAAGGAAAGTTCTACGATGCCACTCAAATATTTATTTCAAGCGAAAATTCTAGTAAATTTAAAGAAGATAAAGAAAATTTAGTGTTACATAATTTCAATATTACTGACAAGTCAAAGTTTGTGGAAGCTTATAAAACGAATTTTAGTGAAAGTTATGCCATGCAACAAAGTAACATGTTGTCTGGTAATTATGTTCAACAAATGACTTATAGCAATACTCATGATACTGGATATCAAACTTATAGTAGCAGTAACATAACAAGTAATATGGATAGCTACAATACACCAATTAAACAGAAGTTACATTGGGATGAAAGAATTACGCAAACTGACGATGAAGTTCAATTGGCAGACTGGGGAGAAAATATGAAGAGTATGATAAGTTCAACTCCATCAAAGTTTAATAGAGCTAAAAACAGCCTCTAACAACAGCTAAGAAGAAACATAAATACATAATTATAAAATAACAGAAAATAATTATTACTATAAATTGTGCTATGCAATATATATATTGTTGAAGTATGTGAGCATGTTAAGCTTTTCAAAGAAAAAACGTGCCTTCACATTTTAAAATAGTTCATCGCTAAACCAGATCACGATAAAATTAAGTAAATTTTCTATAATAGTTTTTATTAATTAAAGATGAAGCATGAAAGGCATCTTTTTATACAAGTATAAAGAGAATTTTTTTCTGTTTTTATTCTTAAAATTAATTAAAATATTCCTTCATTGTTTAAGTGACAATCAACTTAACCAAATGATTTTTTTAAATTTTTATAAATTTCCTTATCACTAAAATTTTATTTTTATTTAAATCGTTTCAAAATATTACTAATTCTTTGGCTGTCGGTATGTCCGACGATTGTGATCTAAATGGCTGTTCGATTAAGATTTACATCATTTTTGCAATTAGCAAAGATTTAAATATTTCACTATATTGTGCAATTTTGCTACATATATTCATTTTTTATTTGTATTTTTTAGTACATTTACCATGTTTATATTATAATGAGCCCAATGGGTATTGCATTACTTTATTTTAAACAAAACTAAACTTATTTTAAGTTTTTACTTTTAGTTTTTAGACTTTTGTGATCATATTTTTCAATTTTTTTTTAATAAAATCAAGTTTATTTTACAAAATTTTTAGTATTTCCAGCAATGCTAAAATATTCTATTAGATTTATATTCGTAGAACATAAAAACAATATGTATAATTTTTTATGCATAGCATTGTATGATTTTTTTTTTCTTTTTTTTTTTTTTTTTTTAAAGTAATTATGAAGTTAATGTTATGCTTGTCGATAGCAAATTATAAAATATAAAAATATGAGTTTACAGTTTTATTTATATAAAACGGTTTTTATTCATAAATATCTATATTGATTTAATGCTTAAGCGTATATGTGATGTCCATTTCAACTCCATACATAAATACAATATTCAGTTTAATATTCGTTTTTTATAATTATAATAATTGATTTTATTTGTATTAATGTATTTGCCTTCTTATAAAAATACAATTATCAACATTTTTTAATTGTAAGATTAATAAGGCAAATTAATATCTGACTATTTGTATACACATTATTGTTTATAATCTCAAATGAAATATTGCATAAAGTAATAAACTTATACTTTTGTATGTTAAAAACTTGTTTTTATTTTATTATAATATATATTAATTCTTCAGCATTATAGTATTGAAAATACTTTTTGCCAAAAGCAAATTGCAGATAAAAGTTACTTTAAGTAATTATACTACAGGAAATATATAAAATAAGGTGTACAATTATTAATTTCTTCTGTAAAATTAATCATGGTTATAAAAATTGATATATGTATATGTATATATATATATATATATATATATATATATATTCTTATAATTATAAGCTTGTAACTTAAAAATTGTACAATCTTTCAGACTCTCTTAAAAAAATGTAATTTTGAGAAAATTTGAATGCGTTTGAACGTCTGAAAGGGCAGGGTCCATTACATGGCTTCAAATATAAAAAATTTTACATTCAATTTACTGTACCAAGATGATACAGCAGGACTTCTATTAGATATTATCCTTTCATTTGTCTCTCAACTCTCAGAAATCATTAGCATATCTATAAGAATTATAACACCTTGGTCAAATAATAATATGCAGTAGCTTAAAAAATAGAAAATATTTCTATATATATATACATTGATCACATGAATAATCGCTCCATGTTTTTAAATGAGCATCAAGGACTACGTATGTATTATGTATACGACGTTGCTTTCGAAACGCGTTCCTGGAGATATTCTCGCGTTTTGCTAGTCAGCGATCCTATTAGCTCGAGCATGTGATTTGAGCTGCAATGCCGCAGACTCTAATAACGCGAACCTTCGTAGAGGTTTTAAGCCCGTAATAAGGTCTTAATAAAGTTACACAAATAAGGCTGCATATAGATCTGCAGGATTAATCAATCCGAATCCGGAAGTATTCGTTTTCTCGCCGCGAACTTCCTCTCCTACATGATAAAAAATTCCATGCCCTTATCTTATCAGAGTTTTTGTCCATTCGTCTATTGAGTTCTGTACTTTTATATTATAAAAGGGTATTGTTGTACAACGTCTCGATAATAATCGTGTAATGTTACAATTTTAAAAGCGATTGTGAGTACATTAAAGTGTACAAGGATAAGGGAGAGAGCATTGTATTTCAATTATTATTGATCAATTATACGATAATTTTTATTTCGTACACTCATACATTGGCATTTTTAACGATTACCAATTTCTAAACTTTCAATGCCAGGCTGCGATTATGTTATTTTATTGAAAATAATTGAAGAATATAATTTAGTTAATGTTTATGTTTACATTATTAAAATTGTTTATCAAATTCTTATTTATCTATGTTATAATGGCTCTTTTTTTTTTAATGGCTTTTTTTTTTTTTTTTTTTTTTTTTTTTAATAAACAAATCAATCAAGAATGATTTACACTAAGCCGACTATGAAAAAGTTAAATTATATTGGATAATATAATATTATTCGTTCTTATCCTTAAATAAATTGAATGAAAAAATAATTAAAAACGTGCTATTATTTCTTGATCTTCTACAACTTATGGCGTTTATCATTTATCTTTTCTTCTATTATTTTCTTCGTCTAAAAACATATTTTCTATTATCTAACTATTATAATTCATTCTTGAAAATGTTTGTAAACCATCTATTTTAAGCGTACTGAATTTCTACATTTAATTGGTATTGCCATAATAAATTACTTTAAATATATATATATATATATATATATATATATATATATTTAAGAGGATGTGTCGTTGGTTATTAACAATTGTTTCGGAGTTGGATCGTTTATTGAATATTAAATTTTTAAAATTTGAATTTTAATTACCGTTATATGCTCGATTGTTCAGCTAAATCGTTACTAACTATTCCAAATTATAAGCATGTGACCTGAAAAAATTCTAAACTGTAAACCATAGTAGTTAATTTTTATTAGTAGAATATCAAATGGATATTCTTTCGACTGGGGGGGGAGGGAGTCTTATCTAAATATTGTTCAAGCAAAATCAGAAGCATTCGATAATAATTGAACTAATTTTCATATTTTTAATTTTCTTGCTAAAAAAAGCATATTGATTTTCACGATAAATATGTGCGTGCGTGGTATGTTGCCTATGTGTTTCTAATTATATATATATATATATATATATGTATATATATATGCATATGTGTAGATAAAGTGAGTGGCGCTAATGTCGTAAGCAGTGTAACCTGTATACCTACCTGTAGTAGAGGTAAATGACGTGACGAGTTTCTACAGTCCATGTCATCTTTGCTTTTTCATTAAAATTAACAGCTAATAAAAGACTTTTATAAATAAAAATAAATTTCGCATTTGTCATCAAAATGAAAGAATATTACCGATATTAATACGATAATCGTGGATTAATTTCCTCTCGCTGAGTTTTTCAGTTGCAACGCGAGATCGTATATAATAATTGGTATCACATATTTATTTGACATTTATTGCAAATAATTTATTATTAATGCATTTTATTTGTAACGATATTAGAATAATAGCTATTAAATGTAATTTACACTCGAATAAAATTGATGCACGCTTGAATTCGTGTAAATCACGCGATAAAAAGGTTTATAAACACGTGATATTATTCACTTATGTTGTAGGACATTTAATTAATGTTTTGTAACTTTATATGTTTAGGCTGTTTAGTTACTTAATGAAAATGTCAGAGTCATCGGAGCAAAGCAATTTTAATGTTGACATTGTCATACCACAACAAGGAATGCTTTACAAAGAAGACACACCAGATTATATTCTATGTAAACCAAAATTAATGCCACTGAAATCTGTTACGTTGGAAAAGCTTGAAAAAATGCAAAAAGACGCTGAACTGAAAATGAAAGAATTGGAAAATACAACAGAGAATAAAACTAGCGAACATTGACATCGATGTTTTGATATGAATATCGTTTAACATTTTTCTTGTCAAAACGATTGGAATAATCTACTAATTAAGTCCAAAAGTAATTTCACGATATTTCATTGATATAACATTTATATAATATATATATATATATATATATATATATATATATATATATATATATATATATATATTTATTTATATACACACACACACACACACACACACACGATTTTATAGAAGCAAATATTCAGTAAAATGTCTCTAGCACCGCTTTTAACAGAGGTCGTTCTTGCCTTCTGTCTTGCAGTAACTTTGTTATACAAATATGGAAATATCTATCGGCATCATCCGATTGTTACGCTTTCAGTTTTGGTTGCTTGGTATTTTTCATTGCTTATCATATTTGTCCTGCCATTGGATGTATCTTCGGTAAGTCTTTATTGTATCGCTGAAAGACTGTAATAATACTTTTAATAGAAACTAGTAGTATTTTGAAATATTTCTAAAAATTTGAATAATGAATGGAACATCTTTCTTTTAGACCGTGTTTCGACAATGCGTTGAACAGAGTCTTGGAAATTTGTCTTTGATAAATTCATTTAAAAATACTACGGTTAAACCAACGCACGAATGCAGAGAACCATGGTCTATGGTCCCATCACCTGAAAACGTTTATCAAAATCTTTGGAGAATCGTTTATTGGACTTCTCAATGTTTAACATGGTTGGTCTTACCATTAATGCAATCTTATATAAAAGCTGGAGATTTTACAATTCGAGGGAAACTAAAGTCAGCGTTAATAGACAATGCTATTTATTATGGTAGTTATTTGTTTATCTGCGGAGTTCTATTAATTTATATAGCATTAAAACCAGGCATAGATCTCGATGGGTATGTAATTTAAATTTCTATATAGAAATATTTTTAGAATTTCTAATCAAGCTTATTTTGAATGTAACAATTTTTCTATTACATGTATTATATTGTATTAGACAGTATTTAAAAATTATAAATTATGTTTGTCTAAATTTTATACTGCAATTAATACTTCAATAGGCCAAAAATAAAGGCGATAGCTTCTTCGGCATCGAATACTTGGGGTCTATTTCTATTAGTTCTGCTTCTGGGTTATGCTCTCGTCGAAGTTCCACGAGGTTTATGGAATGCCAGTAAACCAGGATATACGCTACATTACAGTTACTTTAAAGCAGCAAAATTGAGTATAGATAAATATGAAGCCGAAGAAAATGTCGACGATGTACTAGAGGTTAGCGAGTGTCATTATTATCTCAAGGCATTAATATTTTAATAAAGCGCTTAATTCTATGAATTTTCATTACAGTCGTTGCAGGCAGCTAATTTGGCAATTAATCCAGGCCACCCGTTTCATCGTTATTTAGAAACAATATTTCAGAAAGTACCGGCTGAGCTGAGAGATAGAATGAATCGAAGACAACTGCCCGAAGACACGCCGATCGATGTTCCATCTGAGAAAGCATTGATCCGTTTACACAGAAATGTAAGATATACTACAATCGATGGTAGGAGTATAGGAGAAATATTATTTATAGAGTGAATAAAATTTCGTTTTAGACGATTAAGTCACTGCAAACTCTACAAAGAACGGAAACACAATGGGGTATCTTGGTGGATAGCATATTTGATTTAGAAGACATTGCGAGAAATCAAATTAGTCATGACAAAAAATTTAAACCCACGTTTCCTGTGCAACACTCATTATTGCAGCGTATTTTATATAATTCTACAATAGGTTATTACATTCGTTACTATAAAAATTGTCATGAATAAATTACTAATTACTATTGCATAGAAAGATGTTTAATAGACTGGATTAAATTATTTCTTTTAGAATGGTATTGGAAATGTTTCATCAAAAGTTACGTTCAAAAGGTCGCAGCTGTTTCTGCAGCCACATTGTCAGCTGCGGTTGTGTGGTCAGAGGTAACTTTTTTCAACAAATCGCCGGTATTATCATTGTTCGCTCAATTTGTTAATCTAGCAAAAGTGAAATACGATTACTTCACAATTGAGGTAAATTATATTCATTAAAATGAGAAACTTCATAATATCCCATTTTAAACATTCAAAATAATAATTATCAGATACTTTCGACAATGGTAATTGCCTATTTGTGTTATTGTGCATATTCGACGGTTTTAAAGATCCGAGTATTAAATTTATATTACTTGGCTCCACACCATCAAACTAACGAATACAGTTTAATATTTAGCGGTATGATGCTATGTCGGCTTACTCCTCCAATGTGTTTAAATTTTTTGAGCTTAATTCATATGGATTCACATATTATAAAAACTCAAGTTATGGAAACACAGTATACTCAGGTAAAATTTCCTTTCTTCGTTATAATTTGCAAGTATTGCTTGTGAATGTGAAACGAATATATATTAATTTTATAGGTAATGGGTCACATGGATGTTATAAAAATTATATCGGATGGATTTAATATATACTTTCCAATGGCAATTCTTGCTTTCTGCTTAGCAACATATTTTAGTCTTGGTAGTCGATTACTATCCATACTTGGCTTTCAACAATTTTTAGGCGATGACGAGTTCACTACCGACCTCGTCGAGGAAGGTCGAGAATTGATCAAAAGAGGTAAACAGTAGCTCGATGTGTGTATTAAAACAGCGTTGAAAAAATCTTTGGCAATTTGAATATTATAAGTCGTTTTTGTCATTGGCCATTAAATTGGTAAAGTTTGTGTTATGATGGATACAGTTTTACCGACATTATTTGAGTAAATATAGCATATCATGTTTGATAATGACAATTGAATTATCTATCTTATTCTAAATCTATTATATATATATATATATATATATATATATAACGTAAAAATGTAAATGAATGAAGCAAAGTCGACTGTAATTAAAATGAAAACTTATTTGTAAAGAATTGAAAATTCATTAGTTGATGAATAAAGTTTTCTTTATCGTAATATAATTTTACTATTGGCATTTTCAGAGAAAAGAAAACGCCAACGAGTAGAGGATGCAATAAGCCGCCGACGAGAATTTCAAGAAAGATTAACAAACACGGGAAATTTATCACGTTATCGGACATCAAGACAAAGTACGGATACGGGTGTGTACACTATAAATGAGTAGAAGCGTGAATATTTATGATATTATCGACATTTTGTAAGTGACATAACGTAAGTGGATGCAAAGCCTCTAGGGATGCAACATTATTAGGGATTATACATCTCTGCATACCACCAAATAATAGTCATAGTAACTTCCGTTGCGTTGTTCCGTCCGTTAAAACTACTTTGCCTGCTAGCTTTTGATGCATGAAATTTTATCAATTATTTTAATTTTATTTTAGTTGTAAATACATTTATTTAAAAAATTCGAACTTAATCGATTTTGGAAGTTTTATTTTACACGTTACGGGTGCTAAATTCTTCTTTCTTTATTTTTTTTTATAAAATACATAAGAATTAATATTAATGAATTTTAACATTACGCATAAAGAATAGTTTAAATTTTGGGATATATTTTTCAGTAAATGTAATTACATATTTAAATAACATTAGGTGAAATTATTGCACTATTTATAATATTAGAATATTGTAGATATTTTTATTGAATTGCGTATAATAATTTATACATTTTCTAAAAATAATTTTTTTTTTTTTTTTTTTTTTTTTTTTTTTTTTTTAACGACATATTTTAAACTTTTGCATAAAATATGAATTTTATAATCCTTATTAGTCATAAAAATATATAATTGTGAGATTTAATTTATATAATAATACGTGAGATTTTGTTCATTGATTAATGAAAGAATTTATATTAATTAATTTTACTATTCTAGTATTTCCAATAGCATCAATGATCTTCTTTTTTTTATATCAATTTAGTAAATTTTTCAATGAAATTGATTTATTTTGTAATTATTTTTATCAATACGTCTAATATGTGTGTATATTGATGGAGAATTATTTTCTTACAAGTCGAAATAGCTTCGTAAGTAGTACTTTTGAAAGTATAGCGACATCGCAGCCTAGTTAAAGTGAACTCAAGTTATTAAATAATTTGTTGTTGATAAAATAGTAAATATATAGTTTTTTAATCAATATTTGTTAAATATGTGCTTCCTAAGTTTTTAAAGTAGAAGTACTACGTATGGAAGGGTTTTGGAATCGAAAACTTATCTTACTCAAGTTTTGCCGCCCCGGAATACACAATCAAATTGTTTTTTCTATTATTAAATAGCTACGGATATATGCATAGGAAGTAAAGAAATTTTGCGAAAATCTTATACATTTTTCAAAAACAATTTTTACATGTTTTGGAAAAAATGAGACTTGGTCAACTACTGCTTATATAATAAACAATATTCAATTAATTTAAAAAAAAATTATCTACGGCTACAAGAAATATTATAATGAATAATTATAATAAGAATTACCGATGCATTTATTTTTTATATTTTTCATTGGTTTGTCTTATCATTATTTCTTTAAAAGATTATATATTAATACAAAGTGTTGAACTTATATTACCCAATAAGAACCTTTTATTATTCTAAATTATCGCATTTATAAAGGCAGATATCATTTACAAGTATCTGAAGAATTCGAGAAAAAAAAAACAAAAAAAGAAAAAAAGAAAAAAGGTTTGAAATTCCCACAGTCTAAACTCAACACTAAATTAAGTTAAATCATTGAAATTATGAATAAAAAAATGTATTTAACATGTTTGATAAAAATTTTCAAATTGAATTTTCTTTTGACTTTTGCTTAATTTTTTTACTACGAGGTCGAATTTAGATAATAAAAGAATTTCATACAACTGTATGCCTAAAAACTATAAAATCGCTTTTTCGTTTTTCAAGTAAATACAGTTGACAAACTCAGGAGAAATTTCAATATTTGGAATTATAATATTTCGTTTTTCTTTTCTTTTTTTTTTTTTTTTAAAGGTATTCAACAATTACCAAACAATTCAATAAAGAATTTTTTATTAATTACATTTATATTATTCGGCGAGAACAACGACGAGTATGTTAATATAAAAAGTTTTGGAATGATCATTGATATATAATTATATTTCAAACAAAAACAAAACAAAAAAAAAAAACAAAAAAAAACGGTTTAATTGATAAAAGTGCTTGCTAGTCCAAAAATTTATGATTATAATTGTAAATTGCACGTGGGTCGTCAGAAGTATATATCTCTTTAAACTACTCGAGTTATTATTCGTATCAATTATTGCCGATAAATATAAAAATTTCGTTTATTACTTACAATAATAGCCGTCTCTAATAAATAAAAGTGCTTTAGTGTATTTACAATGCTTTTAATCTTTGAATAGTTGCCATTTCCAAATATTTGTCAAAGCCTATAAGTATCACTGTGCTAATTATGCAAATGTACGCTCAACTACATTAACTACATATTTGCATTTGGTAATTAAAAAATTGCTAAAAATGAAAAATGGAGTTAATAATTGCACGTGAGCCACGCTATAAGTAGGAATGATGTCGAGCATAAAAACCGATGTTATTCGCCTCGATAGGGTTGTTGTGTGATTCTGTGGAGATATTGGCTGCCGATTGCCGTATGATAAGGGCAAATGTCGATGTTTGTGATGATCTGTTTGTAGTACGATCCTTGAAACGGGACGAGTCAATCGAGTCGGTGCGAGCTGGATTATTGCGAGACTTCGAGCCCATGTCGGAATACAGTGGCGGGGCTCAGTCATTCGGCAACGAAAATTACGGGGCCAACGATCGCTACGATCATGGATTCCAGGTGGACGACTACTCGGACTATCCGCAGGATACATTAAGAACATTCTCGACAAACAGTAGTCGCGTGGGTCCGCCGCCGAGGGGCTTGTTCGATGACATTTAAGCCCGACGTAATGCATGTGTGATCGTGACTTGCCATTATCAATTGAGTAATCTGCCGAACGATTATTTGTCTTTTTTTTTTTTTTTTTTCTCTTCTCGTTTAGCTATGCGTTTCACGCACACACTATTATTGTCTTTATTATTAATTGCAAACTGTATTATTGGGCACTCTGTATGTAAAGTTGGTTAGCATTTTTTAATAATATTTTTATAAAGTTTAAGTGGATTATAAGCGAATGTTTTCCCATACAAAACTGTGTTTTTTTTTTTATTTATTTATTTATTTTTTCTTCTTTTTTTTTATTTTTTATTTTTTAATTACTTTAAATAATGTAATCTTATTCGTTTAGTAATTTACTCAGTTGATAATAAACTCTAAAATGATTACAAAAAAAAAAAAAAAAAAAAGAAAAAAAAAATTGTTTTTACTGTTTAGTCTCTTTGCGGCAAATAATCAATATTCAATAACCATAAACGTCGATCGTAGCCTTTTACGTTACTGCCTTATTAATGTATAAAGTAATTTTAGATTTCAGCCATTATTTAATTATTAAGTGTCATGTTGCGCATATGGAAAGGAAATATATGTGCATGATAATGCCAATATTATTCAGTTAATAACATTACCATTTAACGATGATTATATTCAATTTATTTACTTAATTAAATTATTGAAATATTATCTTTCGCAATAGAAACCAGTGTCACGTCAAAATTTAGTTTAAGTACCATATTAGTCGATATAAAAATAATATAATGATACGTAATATATAATTTACTTGCTTCACCACTTTCTTTCTTTTATCTTTAACGATTCTAATGATATATTATCAATAAAACTATAATCTGCCACAACGCACATCATATTTAAAGTCTATAAAATGGACAATATTGTATTGTAGCTTCTGATACTATTGCGTAATGAATATTGTAAATTATAACAGTTCGAAAGGTAGAAGAACTCTGATAAAAATTCAAAATACATGTTAATTAAGTCTATTGTATTAAAAAAGCAAAAAATGTCATGTCATTATGGGTAATAATTGAAAATACGTGAGAGAACTTTTGAATATAATTTAGCATTTTTTGTAGTAATTTATTTGTAAATTGTTATTGCTATAATTTATAATATGAATAAACTATCGTATTATCAAGAATTATGATATTTTCAACTTTGAATAGACATAATTTCCCATTTATTATGAAAATAATATAACAGCAAATATAACTGCAGTTTGTTTAATCATACATTTTCAAATATGATTTACATATTTTTTATTTGTTAATAATTTTAAAATGCAACGACTTTTACACTACATTATTGCGAACATAATTTTGCCTATATCCGTTCAAATAATGTTTTTCAATCTTCACTCATACATCCGTTTTATACAAACATTCGAAACTGCTAATAGTATCGATTTCAAGAAATATTTATTGTATAAGAATCTTAAAATATAATATTAAATCTTTACAATATATATATATATATATATATATATATATATATATTGCTTAAGGCATAAACAGATGTAAAAATTATAACCAAATGAAATTTTAAATAATAAAACACTCCATATACATCATTAACAACATATGAAAAGTTAATTTACTTTATTCGTCAAATCTATCAATTAGTTTAAAAATTACATCAATTCGTCTTGTATATTGTTTAAAAATTTGCATCTATTGTTGTATAAACAATTTTACAGAATCATTTAATAAAACATAAATTGTTACAACACAAACTTTTCAATTAATAAAATTGTAATTGCATGTATTATGCATTAAAAAAAAAAAAAAAAAAAAAAAAAAAAAAAAAAAATAATGTATTAAATATTGTGACAATTTATTTATACACATTTCAATTACACTGATTACCTCTTAATATTTTTTTTATATAAATTCAAATTCTTTTCAAGATTTTTTTTCTAATATTAGTGTTATCAGCATAAAAATAAATGTTAATAAAATTGAAATGCTATAAGCATTTAAAGCTCGATTATTTATTAAAAAATATTTCTCTCTATATTAAACAACAAATAGATATTCGTTAAAAATTAATTTACAATTTTATCGAATGAATTAACAATCGAACAATCACATTTTCAATTTGTTAACTAGAATACTATTAAATAAAATCACTGTGTATTTTTTTCTCTCTCTTTTATTATTTATTTTTTTTATTATTTATTTATTTATTTATTTATTTATTTTATTTTTTTTTAATTTATTTATTTTATTTTTCTATGTAAAATATACTAAATAAAATGTTATACTCACTAGCAAAAAAAAGGACAAAGTATAAGCGATTATTATTTTAATAAGTTTCAAATACTCCGAATGAGCCAAAACTTTCTTCTCCTGTATGCGTTTATTATTCGTTGCTGTGTCTGTTATCAACAAAAGTGGCTCCAACATCAATAGACTCGATCTATTCTGTTCAAGCTCCTCCTCGTCTTCTTTTTTAACCACGTAATCGATGAAACTAAACATATCAACGTCATAATCTACGTTTACTTTGCATTCGGCGGCGGGACAGCCATCGCTAGTCCCGGTCGGAGAACAAATGGGCCCTGCAAAATGCATCTTTCTGGAAATGCGACTATAACCTTTGGTGAAAAACATATTGTCGGCTTGTATAACATTGTCACGCATATCGTATCGCAACTTGGAGTTTGATTTTAAATCGGGAGCGTCGAGGCTTAAAGCAACGCTGTAAAAAATCTCGGTAGCCATACATGTCAAATTATAAATCGGCATGAAATCTAAAGCGTTTTCAGCATCCAGTGAGTGCCTCTGCGTG